TTTTTTTTTTTTTTTTTCTTTTTTTCTGATCGTTTGTTACACATTTACGTAACGTCGACGTAGCGTCATTTCGTTTTCACTTTGCTCGACGTTGTTATCATTATTCCATGAAACGCTGAGAAAGAAGGAGACTGATAATTAGGAAAAGACACGTGCGCGTACGTGTTCAATGTATTTTCAAGGTCGAACGTGTTTTCAAGATATGTATGTGTTTGATAAGAACGTGCAGCGCCGTTTCTCTGGCAAAAAATTTACAAATATCTCTCATCTTCCACAAAAGGTTTAGTTCGAGTAACAAATTTCAATTACTTTTCACGCACGACGAGTATACTCGTCGTTGCACAAAACTAGTCATGTCTAACCTTGAAATATTCTAAAATTTACAGATATGTTTTATCTTCCACAAAGTTTAATTCGAGTAACAAATTTCAATTACTTTTCACGGACGACGAGTATACTCGTCGTTGCACAAAACTAGCCATGTCTAACCTTGAAATATTCTAAAATTTACAGATATGTTTTATCTTCCACAAAAAGTTTAATTTAAGTAACAAATTTCAATTACTTTTCAGGCACGACGAGTATACTCGTCGTTGCACAAAACTAGCCATGCCTAATCTCGAAATATTCTAAAATGTCTAAAATGTACAAATATGTTTCATCTTCCACAAAAAGTTTAATTCAAGTAACAAAGTTCAATTACTTTTCACACACGACGAGTATACTCGTCGTTGCACAAAACTAGTCATCTCTTACCTCGAAATATTCTAAAATGTCTAAAATTTACAAACATGTATTATCTTCCACAAAAAGTTTAATTCAAGTAACAAGGTTCAATTACTTTTCATGCACGACGAGTATACTCGTCGTTGCACGAAACTAGTCATGTCTAACCTTGAAATATTCTAAAATTTACAGATATGTTTTATCTTCCACAAAGTTTAATTCAAGTAACAAATTTCAATTACTTTTCACACACGACGAATATACTCGTCGTTGCACGAAACTAGTCATGTCTAACCTCGAAATATTCTGAAATGTACAGATATGTTTTATCTTCCACAAAAAGTTTAATTCAAGTAACAAAGTTCAATTACTTTTCACGGACGACGAGTATACTCATCGTTGCGCAAAACTAGCCATGCCTAATCTCGAAATATTCTAAAATGTCTAAAATGTACAAATATGTTTCATCTTCCACAAAAAGTTTAATTACTTTTCACGCACGACGAGTATACTCGTCGTTGCACAAAAAATCACTAAAATCTTCATCAACGAGTATACTCGTCATTTACAGCTAAGAGATTAAATACACTGTACATGTACAAAACGCTCGATTGGAACGTCTCTCGTGGCACTTGGAAGAAATTTGAAAGACGTTTATCGGCGTGTAATCGATCCCGGCATGATACTTCGAGAGAGGACATAGCGTACAGCGTCACAATGGACGAGAGAAGGACAGAGAAGCAGCGTGGAGCAAAGGAGCGACAAGATGTTAAGAATCCTCCTCCTGTCTGACCGAACAACGGTACGTTCTACTGCGGCCGGGTCGACTCTTCTCCGACTCGTTCCCCTGAATGCGAGCCCCGAACACGAGATCGTCGACTGTCGAATGATGACAATTGCGCGGCGATATTATCGCGTGCTCGCCTCGTGCGTTAAAGACACAATCGTCGTTGACACGCGATACCGATTTCAACATCTTTGACGTATTCGCGTAGAATTGTCATACAAACACAGATAACCAGCAAACCTGCAGAATAACGAGTCTGTTGTTTAAGTGGCTCTTTCGACGATCGTCGCCAGTCGTGAAACTTCTATCGTCGCTCGAGGAAGTGGGAGGGGCGGGGGGGGGGGGAACGAGCGTGGCAACGTCGATGAGAAAAGAAAAACGAAGGGAAACGACGATGTTAGACGTCGTTATAAAAATATTTAATTAACGACAGACACGGTCAACTAATCTCAAACTGCTCGTTAGTTACGTAAAACGAACGACATTGTTTATTCAACGATCCGTCGATCC